AAGTAAACACTACTAATAAAATCTCAAAAAATCCTAACAATCAAAAGTAACAAATGAGAATCAGTAAATCAGGAAAAATAATCATATTATCAAAATGTTAGTTAGAACTCAATTAAAAATCAGTCATCTAATCTAAAATATTGAATCCTTCAAGTTCCAACGTGTCTCTAACCATTGATAAATTTTTTCCCAAGTTCTAAAATAAATTGAATTATCTTTTTCCTTCATTTCTAATGTCAGTCTATCCATTTCTGCACACTCTAAAATTTTAGTAATTATAATCTGGTCAGATGGTAAATTCTCATTTTTCCAAAACTGGGCAAATACTATCCTTGCAGCAGTTAAAACATGCAATATCAAGTAATCATTATCTTTCCCATAATTAGTCTTAACATTCCTAACAAAAACAATTCCGGTTTAAATTCTATCTGTAGTTTCATCATCTTTTCCAACCATCTATGGATCTTAGACCAATATTTCATGGCGATAGGGCATATCCACCAGGCATGGTAATAGGTGCCTGGCTGTTGTTTACATTTCCAGCAGATATCAGAAACATTTTTAAACATTTTCACTAAGTGAACTGGTGTCATATGCCATCTATAAAACATCTTATATAAGTTTTCTTTATATGCTACTGCTTTTGTAAGTTTAATATTTTTATCCCAAAGTTTTTGCCAGTCTTCCAAATCTATAGAATGTCCAAAGTTCTTTGCCCATACTATAATTGTTTCTTTCACTTGTCCTTCTTCCATCTTCCAGTTTAAAAGAAATTTATAGAGTTTTCTAATCAAATTCTCATCTGTTTTTAACAAAATTTTATCTGATGGTGTCTGTTCTTTGTAAAAACCTGTCGATTTTATATCTTTTTTGTATCTTGTTTGAATTTGCAAATAGGACCACCATGTCAGGTCAATACCTTACCTGTCCTTAAGTTTTCCCTCTTTGTCTAAAATGTCTTTATAACTAACCAATTTGTCATAATTAATCAGATTTGGATAAGCAAATGCTTCCATTGTTGAAAGCCACTCAGGTATTTTCATATATATTTTATGTTTAACTTTCTCCCATTCTGAAAGTAGTACGTTTCTTATCACATGATTTTGAAAATACTTATGTGCTTTAGATTTCTCATACCATATAAAAGCATGCCAATCTAAATAAAGCAATCTTTTATTTCTCAATACAATCCATTCTTTAAGCCAAAGCAAAATAGCCGCTTGATAGTAAAGTCTCCAATCTGGAAAATATATTCTATTTTAAACCTCCTAAATATGTCCACACTCCATTCTTCTTCAGTCTTATTCTGGCTTTTTTTTCTTTGCCAAATCATCTTCCATTCCTTGCTTCAGAGTCCTCAAAGAATTCTTGAATTATTGTATATATTATGTCATATTGAGATGACCATCCAGTCGCCATTTTTGGAAGGCTGAGGGGTCTGGCAGGACTATCAGATCATCTCTTTATTTTCTCCTCTTTACGTAGTTGTCCTGAACTGTTTTTCTTTTCTTCCATCTGTTTCTCTTCTTGATCTTCAAATTCCTTCTTATTTATATAGCAGGTTTTTTCCTCCATCCATGTCGTCAATTTTTTTTCTAAATTTTCTATTGTCTGTACTTCTTGGGCAGTTAGGTCTTCTGTCATAATATTTAATTGTTCGATTTTTTCTGTTGTATTCTGTATAGATAGGTTTTTAGTTATAGTTAAAGTTTGAGTTTGCATATCTAAGACGCTTTCTGGTTTTTTTCTGAAAGCTCTTATTTCATCGCCAGCTTTAAGAAGAGTTTGATAAGTTTGGTAAGTTATTTTCAATATAGCAAAAATTTGTTTTTGTATTTCTTCCATAGGAAAGGTGTGTTCCTGGTCTTCCATAGTGATGAGTTGAATTGAAAACTTTTAAAGTCCCCCCCCCCCCGTAAATAAGAAACAGAGCTAAAACACAGCTGGTGTTCAAGGTTACTTGAATCTTATCTTGTTTTCTGAACTGTCAGCCAAGTCTCTTTTCTTTAAGAATAACAATTTGCAATTTCAGGTTTAGCCACAAGATGTCACCCCACTGTTTAAGGAATTCCTTTAAATCTCAAAGTTATTTTAATCCTTTTGGTTTTTTTCTTCTATTTTAAGAGGGGGGAAAACCAGACTTTCAAATAAAAATAAAAAGTAAAAAGTAGATAATCAAAAATCTTTTAATCCACAAGCTTTAGGAAATAAAGTTACAATTGGGATCCAATTATTTTTTCAATGTTTTCAAAACTCCCCTGTATATTCAATTGCCACTGTTTCTGGAGGGAGAGCTAAAATCCCCCTTCCCTCTCCACAGGGGGGAAAGTACTTTAGCAGCTTGAATAGGTACAAAAAAGCAATTAGGATTTAAGAGAGGTAGATCTTACCCAGTCCTTTCCACGCTGCTTTGAAGTTGTCAGATGGTGAGTGTGACTTTGGCTATCTGCAGCCTACTGACGAGCCATATTTATATGGCCGGTCTTTCGTCTGCCAGTTTGGAGGGATTCACCGGCGGTTCTAGCAGGAGAGCTACCGCTCTCCTGTGATCCAGCAAGAGCCCCTCCTTGCTGGTCGCCTCTACGGGGTGACTTTTGACCCAGTGATGCGAAACTGGACGGGGGAGGTGAAACTAATTTCCCAGACATCCATGGCAGCCGTGGCAAACCAGAAGTCCTGTTTTTTTCAAAGTTATCAGTTCCAACAAAACATTTTTACAAGTTTCACAAAAACAAAGAAATAGTTAACATTCAACTCCTCTTAGATGCTGACATGTATGAAAAGTGAGATCACTTTTTGTATTTTCAGCATTTTTTATCTGGGCCATAACAGAATTAATAGCAATTTTACTTACTCCTGAAAAGATGCTATTAATTGGCTGGCTGGTTGGCTAATGAATCACTTGTTTGTTTGTTTGTTTGTTTGTTTGTTTTGTAAGCTTGGGATATATACACATTTCTTATCTAGAAGGAAATAAAAACCCAGGAAAAGAAGAAGCCTGTACCCTAAAAATGGTATTGTTTGCAGAATCAAAGAATGAGAGAGGAGCATTAGAAATCCAAAACATTATTTTTTCCAAGGCTGTGATTGTTACTGTTAAGGCTGTGCATGGATAAATATGCATATAGTTTTCCTTAAAGAAATACTGTACAATACTTCAGAGTCCCAACTTTGTAATTTCTCAGTGATTTTTTGGTTCCCCCTACCAAATAAATTAGTTAGGTAGCAGCAAAGAGAAGGATGCCTGTCTGTTGGATTACCCTTCCCAGGGAGATGTCCCTGAGGCTTATGTTATGACACTGTTGGTGCCAGGTAAAATTTATTTTATTTTCCTAGACAATTGAAGAAATTAGATCTCTGGCTGTTTTATTTTGGTGCTGGTTTTGCTTTTTATGAGTTCTTATTGTTATTGCTGGCTTTATCTTGGTACTGTGTTGCTTTCATCTGTTTTGTATAGTTTTGTATGTGATGTTTTTAACTTATCTGAACATTTCCAATGCAGGTGCTAGGTAGGCTAAAAGCCAATAAACTAATATATCTTTTTGATCTTATACTAATACTTCTAAGGCATTATTAAATGCAGATCCTTTATACACATAGTGGTGAGAAATTGCTTTATGGAAAGCAGAAAGTTCTAATATTTTATTGATAGAATAAATATATTCAGTAATAATCTAGCAACAACCTGTCAACTGTCCAGTTGGCAGATCCAGAAAAAGAAACTCCTGGGACATTATTTTACCAAGATTATAAACATTACTGAATAAACCATATCGACACAGACAAAGCAAAACCAGCTCTGGGTTTCCAGCACAAAAGCTAGCATAGTTAATTCCCTCCATTCCCTGTGGGCCACCCACAATTCATTACGTCCACCAATCACTTCTGTTCATTTTGTTATAGGAAAAGAGCGAGCAATACTAGTCCACCTGCTCAATGTGTCCTTGGGTTGGGCACTCTCTCATGGGAAAATACGATGCTCAGATGCAACTGCCCACACCCTTGCATTCCATTCCCCCCTTTTTTGTCAAGCTGCGAGCAAAGCAGAATATAGGTGAAAGTGTAAACCAGTCTTGACACAACCCAAAAATGGCCCTTAACAAAAAAAGTTGTCTTTAGTCTATTTTAAAACACTGTTTATTCAAAAGCAAAATAAGAAGTAATTACTTACAGATGAAAAATGAACTACTTAAGCATTGCACCATTTCTATGGAAAAAAATAAAAAGACATGTGGCATTCTGCAAAACAGGAGCCTGAAGACAGTATTGAATTAAAAAAAAAAGTCCCTTTGTAAATGTTACATAATGAATAGCACATTTCCACAGAAAATATCCCTATTACTATTTGCTTGAATCTAAACAAAAAGTTAATTGGTATATACATGCTTGAGATACTTATATTATCTGTATAGTGGACCAAGATAGCATTAACTCTAGGCAGAGGGAAAAAACTTTGTCAGATGGCAAAAAAATCTAAGGATATTATTTCATAGCAGTTTTGCATCTATAATGTATTGGCCACAACTGTTTTAAATCACTTGTTAATGTCTGACCTACATTGCTGTATTGTTTAACAGTTGCTGTTACTGAAAGCCAGACTGGCTGTCTCCAAGCTGATAATGAGGTTTGGGGGGGGAAACTGTTACTTTAAACCTATTGGTTGCCACCTAGAGGCTAACTGTATAAATAGCTGTGCAGCAACCTTTAGGGCTGCTTCTGTTCTGAGTTAATAAACTTGTTCACTGTTTCAACACTCTGCCTCATTCAATACCTAAAGAACCAAAGATATAACAGTTGCGACGAGGATGCGATATGCTGCTTCATTGAGAGAGCTTGAAGTCACTAGGGAGTGAGGTCAGCACAGAACCTGACAGGAACTACGTTCCCCTCCCCTCTGTCTGCCAGCAAGCCACGCTGGAGACCACCGTGCCCTAAGGATCCGTCCTAGGGCCTACACAGAAGCCAGCAGCGCAAGGCATTGAACAAAGAAACAAACCACCATGGCAAAGGTCGGGAAGATCAAAGAATTCAAAGTAACTCACCCGGAGAGATGGGCGTCCTACATCTCCTGTGTTGAAAATTACCTCCACGCCAACCAGGTCGCTGAAGATGGATTGAAGGCCACGACACTCCTCTGCATGTGCAGCCCCACCACCTTCGACATTGCAGAGAACCTGGTCGCCCCGGCGCCACTCGAGTCGGTCACCTACGGAGACTTGAAAAAAAAGCTCCAAGACCACTTCAAGCCCAAGTTATCCATTATAGCGTGGAGGCACGCTTTTGAGCAACGAGAGCAACAACCTGGTGAGTCTGCAAAACAATTCATTGCAGCTCTTCGTCAAGCATCCCGACTCTGCAATTTTGTGGATTTGGAGGAAAGACTATGAGACCGCTTAGTCTGTGGACTCCAGAATCGAGAGCTCCAACAAAAACTGTTCACTAAGGAGACTCTCTCACTACAGGAGGCCTTGAAGGAGGCCACGGCGGACGAAACCGCCAGAGGGGCCATTAAAGCGCTGCAGCCCTCCAAAAGCGCGCTAAGCACCGAAGCTGTCCACCATGAGGACCCCGAGCAGATGGAAGACACCAACTCAGACTACAAAGTCGACCAGTTACAAAAGCACCCGGAGAAGGGACCGCAGCCAGCTGAGAAGGCAGTTCCATTCCTTAGATGCATGGGCTGCGGAGGCCGCCATCAATGTGTGGATTGCCGATTCCAAACTGCAACGTGCCGGGCCTGTGGCAAACCAGGCCACATTGCCGCCATCTGCTGAGGTTGTCAGAGGGACCGCCCAAAAGAAGACGCATTCAGGAGAGGTACCGGGGCCCTGGGTCAATACTGAGTAGGGTTCTGCTCCAGCCAAAGGAGTGTATTCCGCACTGGTGCCCATTGCCCCCTAAAGCAGAAGTTTAGTCTACAGGTCAAGCTTCAGGGAGTTCCATGCAAGATGGAACTGGACACGGGCTCAGCCATGTCCATCATTTCACAAGGAACATTCAGGCACCTATGCCATCGTAGCAACTGATGGGCCAAGCTCCAGCCATCTAATCTACTACTCACATACTTCCAAAACTCCCGAGTGGTGGTCAAAGGCAAAGCCACATTTCTGGTGGAATTCAAGGGGTTCAAGGGGCCACTAGATGTCATAGTGGTGGAAGGCCAATGCACGAGCCTCATACGGCTCGATTGGTTTGATGCATTGGGCATTCAAGTAACCGGCATTCACCGAACACAAGCGGCAGATCTGTCTGCAGTCTGCCAAGAGTTTGTGGATGTTTTCAATTCTAGTCTAGGGGAGTACAAGGGTCCTCCGATCGCCCTCAAGCTTGATCCTATGGTAACTCCAATACGGATCAAGCCTCGTAGAGTGCCTTTTGCGTTAAAACCCAAAATCGATGCAGGGCTGGATCAGCTAGTGGAACAAGGGGTATTGCAGCCCGTAGACAGTGGGGTGTGGGAGACCCCCATAGTAATGCCATTAAAGGCCAATGGGGAAGTGTGAATATGCGCTGACTATAAATGCACCTTCAACAGGACACTTCAACAGCACGCGTACCCTGTGCCAGTTGTCAGCCATATTTTGGCATCATTGCAAGGAGGCCGTGTGTTCACCAAATTAGATTTGGCACAGGCCTATCAACAACTGCATGTGGACAAGGCCACGGCGGTAGCCCAGACCATTGTCACCCATAGGGAGGCTTTTAAGGTTAAGCGCCTACAGTTCGGGGTGAGTGTAGCCCCAGGGCTGTTCCAGGGAGTCATGGAGTGCATGCTCAAGGGAATTCCAGGGGTTTGCCCCTACTTCGATGATGTCCTCATTACTGGGGAATCGGTTGAGATTCTGGCTGAACGGCTTAAGGCCGTCCTTCAGCGGTTCCACGACGCGGGACTTAAACTAAAAAAAGAAAAATGCAAGATTGGGGTAGAGTCAACTGAGTTCTTTGGTTTCCGCATCAATGCCGAAGGCATTCATCCAGCAGAATCCAAATTAAAAGCAATCCAGTAGGCCCCAAGGCCGAAGTCAAAGGGAGAGCTTCAGGCTTTCCTAGGCCTTTTGAATTTTTACCATGCCTTCCTCCCAAACAAGGCCGCAGTGGCAGAGCCATTACACCAGTTCTTGGATATACAAGCTCAGTGGCAGTGGACCAATGTCCACGAGAGTAGCTTCCAAGCAGTCAAATCACTGCTGTCGTCAAACTCAGTTCTCACTCATTTCAATGAGCAGCTGCCTGTCTGCATTGCATGTGATGCATCCCCGAATGGGGTTGGGGCTGTGTTAAACCACTTAATGGCTGATGGGAGGCAGAAGCCCATCGCGTATTACTCCAGGACCCTATCGTCCACAGAGCACAACTACGCGCAAATTGACAAGGAGGCTCTGGCCATTGTGGCCGGAGTTAAAAAGTTCCATGACTACTTGTATGGCCACCAGTTCACGGTCTTCACAGACCACAAGCCACTCCTAGGGTTGTTCACCACAAACAGATATCTCAGATTCTGTCTCCTCGAATGCTGAGGTGGTCTATCTTCCTGTCAGCCTATAGCTACAGGATGATTCACAAACCTGACAAGGAAATGGGCCATGCAGACGGCCTGAGCCAGTTGCCCCTGCCACATGTGGAGCCAGATCCAGCTCTGGCTGCACGCATCCTGGCTATTCAGGATTTGCCAAAATCTCCCCTTCGCACTGGGAACATAGCTGCTAAAGACAGCATCTGACAAAACGCTGAGTCGTGTGCTAAACTGGGTACACACAGGATGGCTGGACAAATGTCCAGGGCCAGAATTTCAGACTTTCTTCATGAGAAAAGATGAGCTTTCAGCTCATAAGGGGTGCATCCTTTGGGGAAGTAGGGTCATAGTCCTGAGCTCTTTAAGGCCTAGAGTCTGCACGAGGGTCATCCGGGAATAGTCTGGATGAAGGCACTTGCGAGGAGCTACCTTTGGTGGCCAGGGATAGATAAAGCCATCGAGCCCCAAGTACATGGTTGCTACACGTGCCAGCAATCCAGACCAGAGATGCTGCAAGCCCCTGTCCACCAATGGGAGGACACACACACACCGTGGTCAAGAATCCACATCAATTTTGCCGGGCCCTTTCAGGGACAGCTGTTTCTAATAGTGGTAGATAGCCATTCTAAATGGTTAAAGGTCGCACCAGTCCCTACTATGACTACTGCCAGGACCATCCAGGAACTGCGCAGAATCTTTGCAACACACAGATTTCCAGATGTGTTAGTCTCAGACAATGGGGCTATAAGGACCCACTTCAATCCACATCTTAAGAAAGCAGAACTCTTGGAAACGGTCTCTTCCAACAGGAACTTTTATTAAAAGAAACTGATAGCGGGCATGATAGACAGGATCTGAGGGATTCCCTTATAATTTGATGTTTTAAAATGTCCCTAAGCAGCCGCCCCACCCCACAGTTCTTCCAGGCGATTCAAACCAGCAGATTTCTAGGTGTCAACTCCAGGAGAGATAACATCAGTCCGGCTCTGTTGGCATGATCATTCAAAATCTCCTCACACAGATCCCAGATGCTGCATCTCCCCCCCCCCTTTCTCTCGCTGGCTGGTAAAGGAGGAGAAGTTCAGAGGAGCATAGGATGAAAGGCAAATGGCTACATTGTTATGGTTAGCAGATCTGAAGCAAATCAACAAAAGGTTACTTTGTAGTGAATAGAGGAGATGAAAGTAATAAAAAAGAACCATGCATACCCCCTCCCCCTTAGTAGTATGACAGAATCCAGGAGAGAGTAAGAATTGGTTTTATATCAGAGAAGATAGATAGAAATGAAATATAACTGGATTCTGACAGGGGCTCAGTTTACTGCTTCTGAATTCCAGTCTTTCCTCTGGGCAAATCTAATATGGCATGCCATGTCAGCTCCCTTTCATCCGGCCTCGAACGGCCAAGTGGAACGCATGGTCCACACAACCAGGGAATCACTAAAATGGATTGTCACAGGAGATTGGCACCACAGACTGGCAGATTTTCTACTCTGCCCATGCACAACTCCCTTTACTGCCACGGGCAGAAGCCCAGCCGAACTCAGATGAGGCCGATGTTTGATCACCAAGCTGGACAGGCTACACCCCGACCGGGTTGCCTCGGACTCTGCTCAGCCAAAGACACCTTGAAATTTGCAAGTGGGTGACCGGGTTTGGACCCAGAATTACAGGCAAGGGGCTTTGTGGCTGGCAGCCGTGGTTGTTAAGGTGTCGGGACCATTCTCTTATGAGGTGGTCTTGGAAGATGGGCGAGTCATTTGCCGGCACATTGACCAGCTGCGTCGGAGGCTAGCGAACCAGTCGCTGGCTCAGGCCTCTCAAGAGGGCCACACTCTCAAGGGCCATGCGACAGTGGCCCAACAGAGGAGCTTGCACGCTCCAACAGAACTCTTACTCAAGGAGACGGGGAAAAGGCCATAGGAGAGCTTCCCCTGGACAGACAGACAGTATCCGCTGAACAGGACTGGCAAACTGCACTGAGGGACACCCCTGCAGACTTTGCTGCATGATTGGACTTTGGTTTGGGCCGACCGGGACTGGCCAGCCAAAGGGACCCGAGTCAACCTGACTTCACTGGACCTCAGAGTCCTGGTCTACCCAGCCGGGCAGGTGAGCGGGTAGACCGGGAGACCCCTGCAACCCCTAGATGTTCAGAATGGTCAAGAAGGCTGCCTAAATATCTGCAGGACTATGTCCAGCAATTGAGAGTTTGAGCCATCTAGGGGGAAGGGGTGTAATGTATTGGCCACAACTGTTTTAAATCACTTGCTTAATGTCTGACCTACATTGCTGTATTGTTTAACAGTTGCTATTACTGAAAGCCAGACTGGCTGTCTCCAAGTTGATAATGAGGGTTGGGGCAGGAAACTGTTACTTTAAACCTATTGGTTGCCACCTAGAGGCTAACTGTATCAATAGCTGTGCAGCAGCCTTTAGGGCTGCTTCTGTTCTGAGTTAATAAACTTGTTTGCTGTTTCAACACTCTGCCTTGTTCAATGCCTAATGAACCGAAGATATAACAGCATCCATTCTCCTATGGTAGTTAAAAAGATCATGTTTTCTGTAACACAAGTCTGCGGTACTCTACCTTAGTGGAAGATGCTTTCTCACAAACAGTATTACTCGTTTGTGACAGTACAGGTAGTCCTCATTTACAGATTGCCTTGTTTAGCAACTGTTTAAAGTTACAATGGAATAAAAAAAATAGATTTGCAAGCAATCCTTGCATTTATTACTGTTGTAATGTCCTGAAATCATGAGTTTACCATTTACATGTTTGCAACTGGCTTACAATAATCAAAGTTAACTGAGAAGATAGAGCAAAATTGCAGTTATGTGATGTTTTGCATAATGACTGCAGTGCCTTCCTTAATAGCTGACGAAGATGTCAGGTATAAGCCCATCATGGTCATCTGATATTTCACTTAGCAACTGCAGGGCTTAGCAATGAATTTGCCAGTCCCAATTGTGGGCACCAAGCAAAGACAACTTATACGGACATCTAAATAGAAATACTTCTTTTGCTTCAGTGACAAGTGGTAAAAAATGTTTGAAACCAGCCCTGTACCCTGATATGATTCCTTTCACTCATATTATAAGAACTGAAGCAAAATGCATACGTGTCCATGCTGATATGAATACATATCTATATCAATAGGCTGAATTTACTTTCCTTCCTTAGTATTTTTTCTATGGTGCTCTCAGTAAACTCAAATCTGTAGGCTAGAAGCAGTGGGGGAGGGAGCCTCTCCCTCAGCCACATGTAGTTTTTGTAATGTATTGGGTTAGTCATTAATAGTTGTTATGATCCGTTGTTGTGTTTTTTTGAAAAGAGTCTCCAACTGTCTCGGAGCAAACTGCTAGCCTACAATTTAAGCGGGAAATTGTTCTTTAAAATGATTGGTCGCTGCCTAGTGGCAGCACTGTATAAATAGATGTCAAGTGGTTGTCGGAGCCACTTCTGTGTTTTCAGCAATAAAGAATAGTTGTATTACATCGGTCTGGTCTATGCCTCAACGAACTCAATATACAACAGTTGTGACGAGGGTGGGATGCTGCTGAGAGAGAGCGCTGAAGCACTTAGCCAGAAGTCACTAGGGTGTGAGACCAGGCACTAGAGCCCTAGTAGGGACCACGTCCCCACCCTGCCTGCCAGTAAAGTCACACTGGAGGCACAGTGATCCCTGGATCGCTGTGCCTCCAGGATTTACCTAGCAGCTCCTAGCAGAAGAAGTCATTGACCAAGACCTCGTGAGTATCAGCTATGGNGGAATCTGAGGAGGAGGTGGAGGAGGCCTTTGAGGGGCCGTCAGGATCAGAGGGAGGCTCTGATGAATTACAGGACTCACGGCTTGATGAAGAGCCTGGCCCCTCCAGTCGTGTTTCTGATGAAGCTCAGCTGTGTGAGGAGCATGAGTCAGATTCGGAAGGCTCACACCTGGATTTTCTAATTGATGCTCGCAGACGTCATCAGGTAGCGAGAGAAAAACAACAGCAGTCAATGCGACAACTCCAAAGTAAAAGGAGAAGGCAATGAGAGGCAACGCCCTGGGATTGCTGTAGAAAAAGGGGAGGTGTGGGTGGTGCTGGTTGCTGAAGGCAACTGTTTGCAAAGTGCTTCTTGGAATCCTGGTCTGTTCGTCTTGTTTGCAACCTGTTCCTGTGGACTATTTCCTTCCTTTGGACTTGAGTTTTGCTGTTTGTGTTTTGGACTTATTGACAGGTTTGTCACCCAAATAAAAGGTATTTTGTTTTGTTTTAAAGTCTCCAGCCTATTGTATCAACAGGGGTTTGGTCCTTGTGCCTCTAACAAGGATGGCAATAGGCTGGGATAGAACAGGCAAGCTGAATGAATTTGATGTTTCTCACCCTGAACAATGGAGCTCCTACGTCTCCAGGGTGGAGAACTACCTGTGGGCCAACCAGATGAGAGATGATGGGCTGAAGGCAGCAACCCTGCTCTGCATGTGTGGGCAGGCAACCTTCGACATCGCGGAGAACCTGATTGCCCCAGCCAGCTTAGAATCAGTCACATACACTGATCTGAAGAGGAGGCTAAAGGAACATTTTGAACCCTGGCTGTCTGTTATTGCTTGGCAGAATGCATTTGAGCAAAGAGAGCAACAGGCAAGGGAGTCAGCAGCTGAATTCGTGGCTACACTAAGACAAGCATCAAGACTCTGCGAGTTTCCTGATTTAGAGGATCGACTCAGAGATGGACTTGTGTGTGGCCTGAGGAACCGAGATTTGCAGCAAAGGCTTTTCGCAAAATAAACGGTGATGTTCCAGGATGCGTTAAAAGAGGTCATGGCTGACGAGGGTGCCAGTGGAGCAATGAAGGCTTTATGACCTCAGAAGACTCCCCTCAGCCAGATAGCTGTGCACCATGAAACTACAGAAATACTGGAAGACCCAGACAAGGGTGATGAGATCGACTGGTTACAGAAGCAACCCATCAGACGGCAATGTCCCATTGACAAGGCAGTTCTATTCCCTAGCTGTGCCAGTTGCGGCGAATAGCACAAGAGGTCGGAGTGCAAATTCTGCACTGCAATATGTCATGCTTGTGGCAAACAAGAGCACATCGCCAGAGTCTGTAAAGGTTGCCAGGGAAAAGTTGTGCCTGAAGACATCCCACGGAGACGTATATGGGCCCTGGGACAGAATAAGGTCAGTTACTGCTCCAGAAGGAGAAACATATTAAGGACAGGAGCCCAAAGAGAAGCTGAGACTTAAAGTCAGGCTGCAAGGGATCCCTTGTTCTATGGAACTAGACACCAGGTCAGCCCTGTCCATAATCTCTCACAAAACGTTTAGCTACATCTGCAGACAAGGCAGGAAATGAGTTCAACTCAAACCATCAAACCTTGTTCTGACAGACTTTCAAAATTGCCACGTAGTGGTGAAAGGTGAAGCCACAGTAAAAGTCAGCTTCAAAGAGTTTGAGGGCCCCCTCAACATTGTGGTCGTTGAAGGCCAGCGCACCAGTTTGATTGGGCTGGACTGGGTTGATGCCCTGGGCATCCGAGTAACCGGCATCAACCACACACAAACAGCTGACCTAACGGCTGTGTGCCAGGAATTTGCTGATGTATTCAGCCCTAATTTAGGTCAATACAAGGGAGCACCAATCTCCCTTAACCTTGATCCAACAGTAACTTTCGCACTAAAGCCTAAAATAGATGCAGAGCTAGACAAGTTAGTACAGAAGGGAGTGCTTCAACCTGTAGATAGCAGTGTGTGGGAAACCCCCATAGTAACCCCAGTGAAGCCCAATGGGGACATTCGTATTTGTGCTGATTACAAATGCACAATTATCAAAGCTTTGCAGCAACATGCTTACCCAGTTCCAGTGGTAAGCCACATCCTGGCATCACTGCAGGGAGGTTGTGTATTTGCTAAACTGGACCTCGCACAGGCATATCAGCAACTGCCTGTGGATGATGCCACTGCAGAGGCTCAGACAATAGTCACACATAGAGGGGCATTCAGGGTTCGTTGCCTGCAGTTTGGGGTAAGTGTTACCTCAGGAGTATAATGGAATGCACACTTAAGAATATTCCAGGTATGTGCTCTTATTTTGATGACGTTCTGATTGCTGGGGAATCCGCAGCAGTCATAGCAGAACATCTCAGAGCAGTTCTTCAATGGTTCCGCGAAGCAGGATTGAAGTTAAAAATAGACAAGTGCCAAATTGGTGTGAACTCTACTGAGTTCCTGGGATTCAGGATAGATGCTGCTGGAATCCACCCCTCTGACTCTAAGCTTAAAGCTATACAACTGGCTCCCAGATCTAAGTCAAAAGGGGAGCTGCAAGCATTTTTAGGGCTACTTAATTTCTACCATTCATTTCTGCCACATAAGGCAGCATTGGCATCGGCTTCTGGATAAAAAGACATTGTGGGAGTGGACAAACACCCATGAAAAAGCTTTTAAAACAGTCAAATCACTGCTGTCATCAAGCTCAGTATTAGCTCACTTCAATGAGAAATTGTCTGTCAGTTTAGCATGTGATGCTTCACCGTATGGCATAGGAGCAGTTTTAAGCCATCTAATGGCAGATCGGCACCAAGCACCCATCGCTTACTATTCCAGAACGTTATCCCCTGCAGAGAGGAATTATGCGCAGATAGAAAAGGAGGTTTTAGCCATTGTAGCTGGAATTAAAAAATTCCACGACTTCCTATATGGGCACTCTTTCACTCTTTTCGCGGATCATAAACCTCTCTTAGGACTCTTCACAGCAGACAAGCAGACCCCACAGATCCTTTCTCCTAGGATGCTGTGATGGTCAATATTCATGGCTGCCTATTCTTACAGGCTAGTCCATAAGCCAGGCAAGGAAATGGGCTGTGCGGATGCACTCAGCCGACTGCCTTTGCCTGACACAGACCCCAACCCAGCACCTGCAGCTCGCATCCTGGCAATCCAGGATCTCCCTGGGACTCCCCTTCATGCAGGAGATGTGGCTGCTGAAACTGCCACTGACAGAACACTCAGTTGTGTTCTAAACTGGGAGTTGAGGCGGTGGCCTGATAGCAGACCAGGTCCAGAATTTCATAGTTTCACTAACAGAAAAGATGAGCTGTCAGTTCATAAAGGCTGCATGCTATGGGGAAGCAGGGTGATAGTCCCACCCACATTAAGAGCCAGAGTTTTAGAATCTCTGCATGAGGGTCATCCAGGCACAGTTAGGATGAAGGCACTTGGTAGCAGTTACTTGTGATGGATAAGGACATAGAGGCTCAAGTAAGGAACTGCCAGGTCTGTCAGGAGACCCAACCTGAAATGCCTCAAGCACCAGTGCATCGCTGAGAGACCACGCAAACTCCTTGGTCTCGTGTGCACATAGAGTTTGCAGGACCCTTCCAAGGACAGGTGGAGGCACACATTTCAACAGAGAGATCAGCGAGCTGGGGAATCAGCAAAAGAATTCGTTGCGGCCTTGAGAAGAGCAGCTAAACCGTGTGACTTCAAGGACTTAGAGGAAAGACTGCGTGATCGTTTTGTGTGCGGACTGAGGAACACAGACTTACAGCAGAGGCTGTTTGCCAGGGAAGATGTCTCCTTCCAAGATGCTCTGCGAGAGGTTTCGGCTGAAGAAGCTGCAGGTGGGGCGGTCAAGAACATGCGGCCTAAGCGAAGCGCTCCAGAGACCGCCACTATTCAAAAGGAAGACGTGCGTGAGGATTCGGAAGAAGATCCTGAAGAAGAGGTGGACAAGCTTTACCAAGCAGCTGGGAGGAGGTCCAAAGATCTTCAGGACAAGGGCCCAGCTGAGCTTCGTTGCCTCG